TCTTTTCGCAACCATTTGTTAGGTTTTAGAAAAAGATAAAAATTTTATTCACCAGCCAAGGTCGGTCCGTATTGAGAAAAACTGTGCCCTCTGACTTGTGTAGCGCCCTCGGCCTACGGCCTCGGGCGGTATCCAAGACCTCGGGCACAATTTTTCCCAATACCAACCTCCCGTCTGGTGAATAACATATATATTTTGTGTAGAAGGTCAGTGATTCTCGAATCTTTTATTGCGTGGCGACGAGTTTTATATCATTTTTTGCCGCAAAATGTGAATGGACCATTTACATTCCTTGAAAAAAGTTGCAGGTCCCAAAAAAAATTCCTGAAATAACAGTTGCGACGTCTTTTTACCTCTAGAAGTAACGTCACCTTTAATTCATTAGGTGTACAATCGCATAGCCAATAAAATTTTCGGAATCTGATTGCCAGACTTACAGTTCTTGTACCGTTCGGTAACCCACCAAACAACGCTCGCAAAAGCCCTGTTAATATTTAATAAATTTGAATAATTTTTTTCCCTGCCATTAGACAACAGATTTGACGCATAAAATGAAAAAATGGGACAAAATTGCTTTTATGATCCTTATTTAACTTTAGTTGTCACAAATTGTACCCACAGGTTTCAAAATTGTAATTAATAAATGACAACTATATGTACCGAGGAAGAGGAGGTAGATATGACAACTGGGTGCCAAGAAGGATTTGGATAAACGTCAACTTTTACCAATAGGGAGAATAATTGAATCTGCATAATCTACACAAGCTTGATAAGCTTAAGTGGCAGAGCAAAAATTACTTTCGTTCGAACAATATCTGTAGCTTATATAGGCCAGAAATTAAAGTGATGAAAATCATTCGCAGAAAGCGATTTCTTTCAACCGCCTCGCTAGCTTCCTTGCAGATTGGGTGAACTTTGTTGGATCTATGATATATACAGTTTAATCTATCGTTCTGATTGGTTAATTTCTACATCCGTATGTCTCTGTTCGCGCGCTTCGCGATAGGTTCGGCGCTAAATAATTTACAATGTTCAGTTTTCTATAATAATCTACAAAACGTAGAGACATGAAGGAATTCCTTTAATCAAACTTCTTGTTTCAGTATGCTGCCCGGTTGTTCAGTCATTCAATTTTTTTTCTCATAATTGAAATGATGTTACGAAACGTTGTGGTTTTAGTTTGTATTGTTTGAAACAGTCGCATCGTTAATTGAACAAATGTCTTCGAAAGTAAACCTGACGAAACGAATTCAATTTTTTTGTTCTTCAGCTGCACGGACGAGAAAAAAAACTTGGTCGATTACCTCTAAGTTACCCAATCAGCCCGCGTAAAGAAGGGAAAGGTCTAAAAGCTTTTTTAAGTGATGTAAACTTTTAGATAGGAAACAGTCATCCTCAATATGACGCACTCGTCGTGTTGACATTCGAATAAAATCCATTTTGACTTAAAAGCATTTTAATCTTAAAATGAACCATTAAATTACTATTCTGCTTTAATTTTGAATCATTACTGCTTAAATATAAAGAGGCATAAAAGCTATGCTGCTGAACTAGGAAATCCTGAGACCTCGATTACACATTTATCAAATCTTTCTGAGAAACTACTTCCTACATCTGGCTTTTTAAGGCTGTTATGGAGGACGACTTTCAAAAACAAATTGTACAGTCCAGCAAATATCATTCAAAAAATTAACAGAAGGATCTTATCATCAGAAATTTTATCTGGAACTAACAAGGCTGTAAAGAATCTAACCCGCATCGAGATGATCATCTCCATCAATTGTTGTTTGTTTTCTATGTTTGACAATGATCAGTCGTCAGATTTCGAAAAGTAAAGCGCTTCCGACAAGTCTATTTGTTTAGTTTATGGTAATTTTTCTCTGTTTCATCTTTAAATAATTTGATTTACTGACTAAAAACGGAAATCATTTACCGTGGGCACATCTTCCCATAAGGCATTGAAATGACGTGAAGGTGTGAAGTGTTGTTCTCTTGGGTCACAGAACATATTACTTGCCCACCTTCCCTCAAACTAAAGGCTTTCTGGACTTTCAGTTCATCTACGATGGCCAATAATTTATCAGACCAAAATGAAACATTGTTCCCCTGCAATTACGATCCATCGCTTCTTCTTCAAGTACCACCCTATCTCTACTACACCTACATTGTCACAGCAGCTTTCAACGCGGTCTTTTCACTAACAGCTTTCATAGGAAACGCTCTCGTTTTAACAGCCCTTGTAAAAACCCGAGCTCTCCACTCGCCGTCTAAAGCACTCCTTCGAAGTTTGGCTTTATCCGATCTTTTTGTCGGTTTATTTGTTCAACCCGTATACATTGCATATTGCCTCTCTGGTGTAGTAGGAAACTCGTGGATTCGATGTACTTCCTGGATTGTCTACCCTCTTCTAAGTGATTACTTCGTAGCAGTCTCGTTTTTCACGATGATCACAATAAGCATTGACAGATTTCTGGCTTTACACCTTCGTGCCCGCTATCGTTCAGTCGTCACAATAAAAAAGGCAAACATCACCGTGTTGTCTCTGTGGATAACCAGCTTAATCTTCCCAATTGCACGCTTACTGGCAGGAAAGATCACAATAGTTCTTTCTGTTTCATCGTTCTCACTTTTTATAGTGGTACCAACTTTTACGCACTTGAAAATTCAGCGCATGCTTCGCCGACAAGAAAGGCAGGTTTTCAACCAGTTCAACCAATTTTATCTACACAGAGAGGAAAGCTACCTGTCTATTAATAAGTACAAGAAGTCCGTTGCTGCAATGCGCTATGTTTATGTCGTTCTTATGTTGTGTTATATACCCATAACCTGTGTGGCCATTCTGTATGTCAAGAATGACTCATCCCCACTGATTCTACTGTCTTTGGGTCATTTTGCGTTCACATTACTTTTCGTGAACTCTTCGTTAAACCCGATTTTGTATTGTTGGCAAATCAGGCAGGTTCGTGCAGCGATGTGGATGCTTATTAATAACTTAAATCCTTGTTGTTAACCTTTAAGTTACTCCAAAAGACATTGTGTAAGGAGTGGAGTCAGGAATGGATGGATTTCATTTAAGATCAGCAGTGTCGAACTCCTGCACGAAGGCAAAAGTATATCCTCGTCATGCCCTTCTCCCATAAACCGCCATGCACTGCTACCGGCCTGTCCTTCAAGTTTTTCCGCAGCCCTCCCAAACCGACTCCACTCCCGGCTTTGTCAACTTACAACTGTTCTTTGGTAAGTACACGACGACTGAAATGAACTCTTTGTTACCCCGCAAAAATATTTCAAAACAGGAAAAACAGGGAAAAAAAAGCTCTACTGGTAAGGGGTTGTACTTTTTGGTGTATTTGCTTTCTGTTCGATTTTGCAAAACATTAGAAACATTCTTCGTGTTTAGGAGAACACTGCAAAGCGCTACGTGACTAGAAAAACAATTGTGTTTCTAATGAAAATTGAAAGCTTTCAGTTACTCATTCGGCCTGAATTCTGATACGCTGAAATATTAAACAACTGTAATTGTCGAAGCTATTTTTTCCTGACAATTATTGTAATGCGAAAACTGATCGGCCGTGTGTACAGGGAAAAATTAATTTAAATGGTATTTAGGCCATAAAGGAATATTGCCTTGTGATGCAAGAACATCTCATGACGTCTGTCTTTCAGTAAAATAAACTGTCATCTGTTTTACTGTTATTTTGTGCCAATTTGATAACTCGACAGGAAAGAATGGATTTAAAATCCTGATGATTTTCCACTGTATTACATTGGGCTAAAATCATCTAGTAATTGTTATATTTTACTGATTTATTTCTTATCGGTGAAGTCTGGCTCTTACAGATGAAAGTTGCCTCACACAGAAGACATTGCCCTGTCTCTATTTTTCTTCTGTTTCCCTTTCTTCTGTGTGCTAACTGATAGATGTTAAGTGTCATCCGGTGTGTTAACAAAATAGAGACCTTATAAAGCTTTCTCTTGTCAACTTTTGTCTTCTTTTTCAAACACAGCTTTTCAGCTCTGATTAAACTGATCCCCTACTACAAATGTGAGGTGACACAAATGAGCGGGAAAAAGAGGGTTTCGTTTTGTAAGTTCTGACAATGAAAATTGCATTAGAGAATTTTCATAAAAATAACATGCTAAATCTCTTCCCTCAAAAATGATTCGCAGATACTTTGGCTCATTCCTTTCGCATCCCATTCGGTCTCATTTCAAATATGGCGATGACTCCCGTGGAGACTTGGCCCATAGAATAAAGATAAACTTATAAAACCAACCCGATAATCGCATATCCGATTGCTTCCAAGTGTATTGTTTCTGGCACTCAGAAGATCCATTTCCCGACGTCCATGCCATTCGTTATTTGTTTTTTAGCAATTACCGCTGTCCGTTAGACAGGATTTTTAATCAGTTTGTTTGGTCAAACATCCAGAGGTGCTAAGCTTATGTAAATTCAAGAAGATATCTCCAATGGAAACATCAAAAGGAAGAAGAAAAAGTAAGGTACACTACTTCGATATCTTTGTCACAGCCGCGTTTAAACTGGGAACGGTATCGGTATTCGTTGCACAGCGGCAGTTATTACTTTGTATGCGCTGTTTCCAGTAGCAACGCGCGCCAGACTAAAACTAAAATCAAGAGAACATAAAAGTGTGTTGGTTGTACGGTTTCTGTACTGTTTTTGTTGTATTTGTGCACCTAATAACAAGTCGACATGGGTGATACAGAACCTCTCGACCTTCATGCAATCATTGGTTTTGCAGGTACGCGAAACTGTATAATGTTTAGCTTCACCACAACTGTGATAGCGCTTTGTAATTTTCTGCGATCTTTCGGTCTGAACTGTGATTTAGACGCTGCTAAAATTTCATTTAAATTTCATTCGCATGTTTTTGTAGGTGAGGTTCCAGGAGGTTTGCTGGTTAACAGTGACAGAGAACATCTTATCTATCCTCTTGGCAACACAATCGTCGTCGAGGAAATTAAAGAGGACAAAAAACCAGCTTCTGGTGGGAGAGGATCAGGAACCAAAGGGGGAACCAAAAGTAGGACTACCCCAGAAGATCCAAAGATGCGTCAGAAGCTGTTGTCAGGACACAAAGAAAGATGCCTGGCGGTTTCTTGTCTGGCAGTCTCCAAAAGTGGAAAATACCTTGCATCGGGTGAAAAGACTCACATGGGATTTCAGGCCGATGTTATTCTTTGGGATTTTGAGAAGAGATCCATTAAACATACCCTGGATCCACTGCATAAAGTCAAAGTAGAAGCGCTGGCTTTTTCTCCAAATGACAAATATCTGGTGTCCCTTGGTGGCCAAGACGATGGATCGTAAGTCTATAAAAGTAGATTCTCTATGTGATTGAATTTTATCTTTGGTTTAATGTTTTCTCTAGTTTGTTTCGAACTGATTACTAATTACATCCTTATACCTAAAGCGCGAGGGAAAATTTGATTGAACCAAGGTTGAAATTCAGTTACAGCATCTACTTTTTTCCTAGTGATAACGACACTCTAAGTGTGAGGAAAGGCCATTTATAAAATTTGGGAGACTCTCGTTTGAAAATGTGAGACTGAGACCAAACAATTGTAGCACATAACCCCTTATCTTTGTCATAGCTTTCATCGCCTAATTGCAAGTACACTCAACGATGGGAATTTTTCTGTATTGGAGTAGTAATACTCTCTTTTGCACATATTTTTGTAAATTTAATGCCCTCTTCATCCCATTATTTTCAAGAAATGATGAGTATTTACAGATATTTTTCAGTAATTATGATAATAGTTAGCTACTCTGGGTACCTTTTGACTGAGGCTCCTAAGCTTAAACCCCTGAAAGAAATGCAAGGCTTTCAGACTAAAATGAGCTAAACTATACAGGAAGGAGAGTACAAGCTACATCTGAGACAGTTAGAAGGATCTCAGTTTAGCAAAGGTTTACTGCTTTGACTTTTAAAGGCCTTTGACCCCTGATAAAATTAGTAAGGAAGAGCTTGAGCTACCAAAGAACAGGAGTTGAAAGTCAGGATAAACAAGTGTATTACATACTGTTTGGATCAGAAAAATCTTTGTACCAAAACATTATATCATTAATACCAACAACAGCCATTAGACAAAATAACTGAGGTGACAAAAAAGACAGCTCTCAAATTGACTGAGGAGAAGCTTTTTGTGATTTCCTTCCAAACGCTTGTCAGAACCAGAGAAATTCAATACAAGATACTTTATGTAATCTATTTTTATACATTAAATGGAGTGATTTTCAGATTCAAATTATTTAAATAATCTCCCATGATGTATCTGAGACATTAGTATACATATTCTCCATACAGTTTGTCATACATTTCCTAAGGTGCTGACAAAGAAAATTTGTCCCAAAGTCAGGAGCCTCTTTAGTTGGTGATCATTTCCTTATAATATTCTCGTGATCTCACCAGTAATTTAGAGGAAATACTGTTGGGAGAAATCAGATGGTAGTCACTCCAAGGGTCAAAAGGTTACGATAAACACTGTTTATACTATTTTTCACATTCTCTATGTGATATGTCATGTTGGAACAGTGCTAAAATAATGCTCTAATCAGAATAAAGCCTTGACCATTAAAACATATTTCTTTTCCAAATTTTTTTCTTCTTTTGCTCACAGAATTGTTGTGTGGGATGTCAAGAGTGGTTCAGCTATTTGTGGAAGTGTGGCAGGTGCTCCAAGTGCAGGGACTACATTTGCAGTAGCTTATGCTAACTTGAGTGATGAGATATTTGTCACTGGTGGAGAGTAAGTACTGCTGATGCTCCTGAAATCTTTAAAGTTTTTATGATTTGATGGTTATATGTTGGAACACTGCAGGGCTGAGAATTTGAAAGAAGACAATAGTGTTAACTATGGCCAAAAGCTATTAACCATCCTAACATCAGTATACATATACTCGATACTATTTGCCATACATTTCCTAAAGTGCTGACAAGGAGAATTTGATTATCATTCAAGGGCTTCTTTAAGTTGGTGATCATATCTTTTATTCTCATGACCTTAATGTGCAATTTAGGGGTGATATCACTAGAAGAAATTAGATTGTAAACACTCTAGATTGCAGACACCCCAATGGGCCAAAAGGTGAAAGTGATTGAACTGGATCTGAAAGTAAATAATTTGTATAACAGTAAATTGACAAAATACAGTTGAACCTGTATTAAGCGGCCCCCTATTGAGTGGTCATCCTGTATTAAGGGGTCAGTTGTGGTAGTCCCAAATTTATTTTCCCTAAAAAATTGAAGTTTTCACTTCTATTAGGCGGTCACCTCTAGTAAGCAGTCATGGTCACCCTTAACTGACAAGTCCCAACAGTCTCTTTCTATTATCTCCCACTTTTATTGAATGGTCACCTTACATGGAACCACTCAAATAAATCAAGAACAAGCTTTTAAGTATCTTACATCCATGTTTATCTCTCAAAATCAATGCTGTACATGTATTTTTGAGTGAGTTTTTGTACATTGATTGGTCAATTATGGCATAAAATGGCATTTTTTGCATTTCATTTTTTTTTTAAAAAAAAAAAACCCTATTCTGTGGAACCTTTATTAAGCGGTCACTGTGTCATTCCCCTTGGGTGACTGCTTAATGCAAGTTGGACTGTAAATACAAGGATGTAAGCCTTTGTTTATTTCACAAGACTTTTTCTTATTACATTTCCAGTAATACCTTGAGAGTTTGGGAACTGGATGTTGAAAACCGTAAGATCCGTCCAACTGAAGTTGGTATGGGACAGTTAAAACGAATAGTTAAATGTATTCAGGTGAGTGATGCTAACTGTTTTCCTGTAGATAAAAGCATGTTGTGTTTGGAGCAGTCTGGCCTAAATTCATTAATTTTAACTCCACAATATGATGATTATTTAATGCTAATTTTTTATTAGAATACTCTTAAACATTAGTTAGTGAAATGAGTGCATGCACATTTTATGCCTTGAATGTGAGAATGAAAAGTGGAACTAGAATTTGTACTCTTCTTGAATCATAATTCACTTTGAAGTAAGTTGCAAATTTCTTGGAATCAGATGACTTTTCAATGACAATGAAGAGAGTTCTTTGCTGAGTTGAGCTTCAAATTAATAATGGTTTGCACTGAGGAATATGTTATTTCCACACAGGGATATGTTGCTTCAGCAGCATTGTGATGTTTTCATTAACAGGATATATTACTGTCACTCAGTGATGTTTCACCTGCACTCAACATGACATTGTCACAGATTAGCAGTGTATCGTTTCCTTTAGCAAGACATTGCAGCTGTAGCTTAGAGAAAAAATTGTTCATTTGTTTGTTTGCTTTTCTCCCAAAGGTACTGTCTCCAGAATGCTTTGCATGGAAATTGTTTTCTTTATTTTTTTTTATGTGTGGTCTTTTTATAATAACCAAAAGATACATTTTAAGTGTTACCAAATGTTTGTAACTATGAATGTAATCAGTGACATAATTTTGATTTTTACAGATGACTGAAAATGACAGCCACTTCTATTGTGGAACTACCACAGGAGACGTTTTAGAGGTAGACAAAAATTTGCATATTGAAGCTGATGAAAGTTTAACCTGGCAAAATAGGGATTTAACTGTATAAAAGAGCAGGGTGTATATTTCTACCATTTGAACTAATGATGAAACAAAGCCATCTTCAAGTTAGCAAAACCCTTTTATCTGAACATTTACTTTTTGTGAACAACTTCATGTATCACATGGACACAAGGAGTGATGTATCAACCATAGGAGTCTTTAAACCCCTAAAACTGTTTTTCAACCAGCAGAGTCTCAAATTTCAACCCCTTAAACTTCATTTTTTTCATACAAATGTCTCCAAATCCTCAAATGAAATTTAAAAACTTTTTAATTTGGATAATTTATGCTTAGCAGTGAGGTTCTAATTCATTTCCTTATTTGCATGTGCTGTCAAATATTGCAGATCAATATGACAACTAAACTTATGACTACCTATGGGCCATTGGCCAGTGAACGTCTCAGTCTTGGAGTGCTTGCTATTCGCATTCCACGGAAAGGTGAAATTCTGGTTGGATCAGGAGATGGGACAGTTGCCATCCTCAAAGTTGTTGAAAAAGATGATAAAAGAATAATCAAGAAAACTCAGTAAGGGCATTCTTATAATAATAACTTTTTTCCATCAAATTATTTAATCCATCATCCTGTCCATTAGTCATCAGTCAGTCAGTTTGTTAAAGAATACTATTACGTGGAACCCTTCTTTGAATTTATGGCAGTTTTTTGAGTGAATAAGCAGCTAACTTACTTCGTTAGTTACTCATGCAAAGAAACAGTTGGTGGCTAGATTTGGCTAAAAGTTCTTTGTATAACAGTGTGACCATATAGTCTGATCATCCAGAGTTGAGATTCCAGAGTAGACCCAGATGATAAGTTTCACTCGGGTTATCAAACATCAGTCACCACTATGAACAAAAAAACTTTTCAGGACTACCCTCACCCAGATGATCACACTACACAATAGAGATAAGTTTGTTCCCATTTACTAGGAAAACTTTGCTCTAAGGTTGTCATGGACACAATATTCTACCACCAGCCATGATGTGAATGTAGTGGGGTTCACACTGGAAACCACTCAAATTTACCAATATAATCACTGGAAAGTTAGCATACATAGTCATCCAAGTTTACCCATGTTCCATCTTTCAAACCATTTTATTACCTGCTTTCTTATAATGGACCGTGTTGTTTGATTTAGATCTGTCACTGTGGATGGTGGGATAACCTCAATAGCATTGAGAGGCCAAGGACATCAGGTGTGTTCAAAACCCAGAATTATTGAAAAATTTTTAAGCCAACTCTTATGCACTGTGAAAATGGCCAAACTTTAGGATAGAACATAATTTTTTGTATTGCACTCACAAGCACTTTTTTGTGATTACAATCAATCAGTTTTGTGATTGCCAACAAAATTGTTTCGGTAGAGTGAGGTCATTAATAGCATTGTTTTCACGGATGAAATTTGGAAACATCTTTCCCAGCCAAATATCATGGTAGCCCAAGTCTTTCTGGTGATTGAATCAAGTTAGTTAAAGCTGAGAAAGGCTGGAGATAAGTAAAAACAAATAACACAGGGATGAGGGCAGATCATCAGAAAAAAGTGGGATAATGGTCTAAATACAAAAATGTGCACCTTTCCCATGTTTTACAGATTTGTATTGTATTAGCTGTTGAAATGTTCTGAGTTGTGATGAGAATTTGATTAATTTTGATATATTTTTACTTTTTTACCACAATGTTGGTTCAGCAGTAGCATAAAACGCAATTTGTGAAAAACAGTTGGTTGAACTTCAGTGTCCATATGTTAGTGTAGGACAGAATTAAAACTAATCTATCCAATTTTAAAATTTCTATTAGCTTTGGTGATGCTCTTTTGATCTATATAATACTTGAAACTTAAATTTTATACCTACATGTCCACCTTTTAAGATACAACCTGTAAGTTGTACTTGATCTTTAGGTATTTTTCAGCTTAATACTCAAAGACCACATTTCTTCTTCAGTTCTTTGTAGGCACAAAAAACTCCCAGATTTATCTGTTCAGCTACAGTACATTTGGTGCAAAAGAGTATGACAGGATAAAGACTTGCCACTACTCCCCTGTCACTGACATCATATTCCCTCAGTAAGCAGATTTAATGTTTGAGAAAGTAACATATAGCCCTATCCTTATGTATGGTTAGCATAATGATTTATTTTTGCACTGTTGATGACAAAAAGAGTTGCAAACTTTGTGCCACGTTTCCCATTCCTAGTGATGGCTATCAATGTTAAACTACAAGTTCTGTAGAACACATGTCCAATCTGAGAAGTTAGTTAACTTTGCTTTTAGCTGAATCTGCATCTAACAGTTTTTCTCCCAGGGACTCTTTGATCATCAGTATAAAAGTTGCCATTAAGCTTGTGTTTCTCAGTACTTTGTGTCTTACCTTTTTGCTCAAAAGATAAGTCAAGATTAGAACTTAATTGAAATGTCTGAAACACTTAAGCATGACTACTACCTACTTCATAAGAAATAAAATTAAAAGTCGAGTGAAAATTCAAGCTGAGCGATGGAGAAAATAATCTCACAAGAAACTTTACATTTTTTAGCTACGATGTACATAAAAGGCAGTCCGCTAATTTTTGTAGAGATCCAAATTCGTCTCATAGCATTTTTAACACAGATTACAGATTGAATTGATGTATGAATTTGATTTTCAGTGACAGTTCAGACTTGTTTCTTACCTGTGCTAAAAGTGAAATCCGAATTTGGTCCACAAAGACAAACCAAGAGATTGTGCGCATCACCGTACCTAACATGACTTGCAATGCTATCGAACTGATGCGCTGTGGAACAAGTATCATAAGCGGTGAGGATTCAAACTCTTTAATTACTAGAAGTGAAAGTTCTGAAACATCTCAGGTGTAGAACACCTAGTGCTGAATCTGGTTTCAGTATATGTAATTTAAATTTCTTTGTGATCAATACCCACCTCCAAATTAATACCACATCAAATTTTATTTCCTTGTGCGCAACAATAAAAAAAACTCCTCACGAGGACAGGAAATGTTGTAGTTTCTTCCACAACAATTTTTGTAAAGTCTCAATCTGTGGTTTGCACCTTAACCAAATGACAAGCATCCATAGAGAGGTCATTACAAACTCTCTTGATTGATTTTTTTTTCTCCCGAATAGTATTCATTAGTGGTAATAAAGGACGTTTTTCTTGTTTCGATGGAAAGGGAATTTTTTTGGGAATTACGCCAGGCTCCGTTTGCATGTCATAGACGTCCAAGAATTCCGCTTTTCTGTTTCACGGGTTGATCAACATAATTTAGACATGTCAAACCCTTTAACTCCCAAGATCTGGTTGTTAATTCTCCCCTCCAGCTTTTACACATTTCCTAACGAATTAGTATCAAGAATTTGTGTTGGATCAGAAAAACAATTTCTACCCGATATGTTTGTGAATTCTCAGTGCTTGCATGTCTCCTGGATAATGTCTGGATACTACAGGGATAAATTATCGGTTAATCACTTCTGGGAGTTAAAGGGTTAACCCCAGTTGGACACCTGCTACCTCTCCACTTTGGTAAAGAGTGGTGGGGAGAGGATTCGGTCACTGAGATCATACCACTTTGACATGATTCTTCCCAATGTGTAACGCTACTTCCGTTATTATCCAGGTTGGGACGACGGAAAAATCCGCACATTCACACCAGAGAGTGGCCGCTTGCTTTATGCAATAGACAACGCTCACCAGATTGGCGTCACGGCTGTAGCCACCACTAATGATAAGAAACATATCATTAGTGGGGGAGGGGAAGGTGAAGTTCGTGTCTGGACTGTTGGTGGCCGCACTTGGAAACTCAAAGGAGCCATGAAGGAAAAGCATAAAGGTAGCATTGAAAACCAGTGATAGTCGCTCTCTGGCCTAAAATGAATTTTCAAATGACTGTATGTTTTCATGGTATTTTTCTCGATTAACAAGTGGAGAACGTGGCGAGGAAAGCAATAAGACATTATTTTGCGCATTTTTTCCACTTGTAGTGTGTGTACTTTTAGCACAAGAGAAGTTTCTTAATTTTTTCAAGACGCGTTTGGACTGAAATTTTAGGCTCCTCTCCTTTTCCACGCGTTTCGTTTTTTAGCTAAGCACACAGAGGTGTCGTAACTTGAGCTGGAGGTTATGGGAAACAATTTATTAGATTCCATGCAAGAGTTAACCAACGTAGCTGGCAGGTTTTTTAAAGCTTTGAAGCGCTGTCCGGTGCGGTGGAGCCGAGAAAACGAGTAACAAAGCTACAAGAGCCTTGGGACGAGTTCGCGGTTCTGTCGTATTTATTTTTATTGAGCGCACAAAACATAGCCCGTTCCTTAGCTTATGCAGATATCAGCTTAACAATTTTAATTTTACTGCAGTTAACTTATTGTATTTTTCTAAGGTGCTGTTACTTCCATCAAAGTTCGGCGCAACGATCTGGAGGTAAATATTTGTACCGTAAACTCTCGCACCTAGACAATCTCATATTTAATCACTCCCCGACAGTATGTTCTGTTTACAGTCTGTGCTAATAACTTTTCCACAAGAGAAAAAAACGAGGCATATGTTCAGTGCATACAAATGAACTCTGGTTGACTATGGATGAATTTCGACTCGGTAAAACCGCCCTGGAGATTTTGCAGATCTAACGGTATACTCTCTTTTCTTGTAGACCCCAAAGAGACCGACTCCCCCATCTGTTTTATTACCTTATCAACCTTAATTTTTCTTCTTTTTTCCAGTGCGTCTCAGCTAGCAAGGACGGCACGTGTATTGTTTGGGATTTGGAGTAAGTACATCATCTATTGTACCTCTTTTTTGCTGAAACCTAACCTTTGACAATGATTCTTTTAACTGTATACGTGCGGTGGAATGAAAAAAAACTCTGAAGCCTAATTTTCACTAGCTACCAGGACGAACATAAAAACAAAAACAACCTCAAGCAAAACAGGTCTTATTTCGTCGTAAGAATGGCTTGGACATAAGAATATGTCAAAGCACAGGGATAAAAGACATTCGACCAGCTTTTGTATGTGCCTGCACGGTCTCTTCGCAGCCGTCTTATTACAGGGACTGCGAAGATGAGATTGGTGCTTGCATCGCCTGTTTGGTCTTTAAGAACGATCCAAACCCATGACCACCACGGTATGCTATTAACTTTTATCTTGGATTGTTCTAGGCAAATGGTAAGGTACACAATCGTGTTTGCTAACACCATGTTCAAGGCAATCTGCTACAATCCACCAGAGAGTCAGATCATCACGGCTGGTACGGACCGGAAGGTAAGCGACCGAATGAGTCATCACCACTAAATGAAGAGACCAGAAAGCTTAAGGCAGAACTTTGAGAAAAGAAGGGTTTAGTTAAATGTAGGTTACGTCTAACCTACACAACTTAAGGATTGTAAATGTATAAAACTCGAATATGTGCACTGCGCTGAAGAAACGAATATAAGCTATGAACACAACTGAACTAATAGTTGAAAATAAGACCTGAAAAAAATTCAGGCAATTTACTTTGTATATGCGGAAACTGACAGTTGAGCCGATCTTAAACTATCGTTTTGAGTACAGTCAAACAACTCTCGACTGTAAAGCAGATCATTTTGAAGGAAATTGTTTCGTATTTATTACGAGCGTAGGACAAGGAAATATCTGGGAATCCCGAGAGGGATTGGACATCAGACTTTCGGCCTTCTATGTTCCACGCTTTGTAGGACAAAAACTCGTCCGCATGTATAGCAAACTCGTGACTTTTTAACACTTTAACTCCCGTGAGTGATTATTATGTAACTTCTCCTTATTATATCCATATATTGTTTAGCAAACAGGTAATGAGAATACTAAAACTTATCAGGTTGAAGTTGCTATCTTGATCTAGCACCAAATTCTCGTAACCAATTTAAAAGGAAATGTGTAGCAGCAAGAGGGGAGAACTAACAATCAGATCTTGGGAGTTAAAGGGTTTAATTTCGTATTGCCAACAGATTGTTTACTGGGAAACATACGACGGAGGGCAAATTCGAGAACTGGAAGGGTCCAAACGGGGATCTATAGATGGTATGGATATATCCTTCGACGGGACGCACTTTGTTACCGGTGGCGCCGACAAAGAAGTTGTGGTATGTACACGCATAACCTGTCACTGTCTGGCATCTTAGCGTACTAGTACAATCTAATGGTAGAAGGTTAAGAAAAATAAGCGATGGTTAGAGTACAAAAATCTGAAGATAAGACGAAGAAACAACTTTACAATGCTTTAAATACTTAAAATTGATTCACGAATTACAAAATAGGTGTTAGCTCGGTGGGTGTACACGGGGGGTGTACAACACTTACATGTTTGTCTTTGTTTATGAAGGATACGCTTAGGTGAAAAATTGACCAATCAAATCTTTGTATGTATCTTCTTAATGTTAAACAATGTGAATATTTTTAAAAGTTGTAGAGTGAAAAACTTTAAGCGTCCATAACTCAAACATTCTTTTGCGAACTAGTGTGTGCAATCTTTAGAGATGACTTTTCTTTGTATAAACTAAGATTTATGAAGAACTTCATGCAGTAATTCACTACTCCGGTGCAAACGTATTACCGAGATTTAGACTTGAAATATATTTTCTTTAGGTCACAGTTGCGTCTATACACTTTTCATTGCTTTTTATTTTTCATTCCTACTTGCTCACTCACCTGACTTTCTTTATGACCCTTGACCTATTTTGACCTTAATTTGTAGGTGTGGAAGTACAATGAAGGCCAAGAGACTCATGTTGGCAAAGGCCACGGAGGGGGGATCACAAGGGTGAAAATATGTCCAAACAACAAGTGGATTGTCTCCATAGGAACGGACGGCAGCATTCTGAGATGGAAATACCCTCATTAAGACAACTAACACTGATTTGTAATTGTATGACTGCGGAACGTTTCTTCTCAAAAAATTGCCAAAGTTTAAGTTTATACCAGTGGCAGATACATGCAACATTTGCTTGGAAATATCACTTTGAGGTGTTTGAAGAGATTTACATGGAAACTTAACTGTTTTGTAATTTAATCAACACGGTTCACGGTTTTGATTGACTTAGTTAGACTATTGTAGGGTGATGACGTTTAGGTCAAGATCATGATGCCGGTGAAAGTTACTATATTATGTAAATTGCCTTGTGTACAGTGAGATTATGGAATTTAACCTTTGTAACTTGGATAATTTAATTTTTGATGGGTCAGGCAAGGAGATAGGGTTTGCTACTATTTTTTTAAAAGTTTCGGCGGTTTGAGTTGGACATCATCATTCTTGAAATATATTTGATTTTCTTTGTTTTATAGTGCTGAAACTTTTTAATTGTTTACTAGTTTAAGGCAGATGTTGGGGCAGACGCAAAACTTAATGTAAAATAATGTGTGTTGTTATCGATAAATCTGCCCACTTTTCATCGCTTGACACCATTTGTGGTAATGAAGGGTTTACACGCCATTAAATATAGAGGCCCTATTAAAACACATTCAAAAATACTGGTTAAATTTCGGGACTTATTGCGTAGGGATTGGTGTAAGTGTGCTCACTTAATGTATATTTTGATAGGAGTTTTTAAGAAACAGCAAACTTGAATCGAAATTTGACATACGAGACAAATATTTTTGAACTTGGATCTTGCCAACTACCCGGACGAGAGGGAAGCTATCGTGTGAAACAGTTCCAAATACTAAGTATTTATCTTGGGTTTGTTTATTATTTCCAAAACGACTTTCTACCTAAAATTTCATACTTTTGTAGTAAAGATCGGGAAGAAAGGGCGTACCCAAGGTAACGCCCCCGAAGGAATTACCTGCCGTTTATTTAAGTTAACTGATTTTAAATTTCAGTGCGGAAGATGAGAAGTTCGAGTTGTTTACACCTTTAGTCACCTTACAGAAGAGCAGAAGAAGTGTTGCCGCAAGATAATTATTGAAACATTTCACCGGAAGTTGCTAGTAATCGAATCCTTGCGTTTCCGCACAGATTTCTGGGATCGCCACAGGGCAAACATTCTAACTCGCTATAAAGGAAAGTATGGCGAAAGGCTGTTTGGACGTTCAAAATAGCGATTTTGGCGACATGATGGCTCTCTCGCCGCAGTTTCATCATACATGGATAAAGATAATTTTGTTACGAGGGAAGTTTAAGTTTTTATTAGAATTACCACAAAATGTGTTATAAAAAATACCAAAAAACTTCTCTACTTGCGTAATGTCTATTGTGAAATCGTCATCGCGTAATGGTCTCGAAATATTACAAAATTAGCCATAAATCGTTAGGAAATAACTCATTTAAGTCTTTCCAGTTATATTTATATTTGTGCAGCCTGTTTTCATACTTGTTGACGTACTTGACAAACAAATTACGACGTTTGAAAATACTACCTCCTCAAAAGAGAGTCGTCAGCGAAGATGGAAATTATTTTTTACCGAGCTGTTGCTCTCTGAAAAGATGAAATAAGCGATGGAAAACATGAGGAAATCTCTAGTTCAAGTGACAGTTTGTTTGAGAAAAAATCCAGGGGTCTTTGAGTTGTAACTTTTCTTCTCGAACTCCCTGAAGGATCTTGGCAGGGAAAGCAAGATCACGGGGGAACTCCGGAAGAAACTGTGGACATATCATCAGTTTTGCATCGCTCCTTAAGAGACCAATTTGTATCACTAGTCGTCACAGGAGGGTTCAGTTTTGAGCCGATTATCAACGCTGATTCGTTCTCATTGATCACAAAAAAGAGGCATTGTAGGTATTTTATCACTTTAATATACCACATTAATATATTTAATGCTAAAGCACGCCATTTCAATCTCTTGCTGTCTCGAGGTAACTTTTGCAGCGTTTTATTGTATTACCAAGCCACGAAAAAAGCTATAAATAGACTTGACACACGTAAGAAAAAACTGAAACGGCTTAGTTGAGTTATTCCTTGGCGATCTATAGTTAGTTTTCCTAAATTTCGAGACCATTTCGCGATTTCAAATTCTCAATAAACCCTGCGCATGGAGACAAGTTAATCAGTAGGTTTATAATGGTAATTGAAACTGAATGGAGTGCAGTTTGGGCTGAAATCATACGCGTGATTTAAAAATCGAACAAGCGCGCAGCGCGAGTTCGATTTGAAATCACAAGTATGATTTCAGACCAAAATTGCACTCCACTCAGTTCAATTACCACTTTATTACATCCATTTTGAAATCGCCCAAATACAGGACTTGGTCAGTTCAAATATTTCATTGATGTAGCACTTAGCCGGTTTGAAATTAAATTCATTCATTTTTGGGGGGGAATAAACAAGAGTTTTGGAAACAAAATTTGCAAAATTTGCCAAATGATACTTTTTGTCTTTCATTTTCCTGCAATTTGAGTGGTTACTTTAAACAAGCCTTGAAATCTGATTGGTTATTTTGTTTTTAGTGTAGCCTCCTCATTGGCTGGGAAAAAGATGGAATTTAAAGTAAAAATGGTGCGATTCGTGAATAAATTGCACCAATTAGAGCTTATCAGATTACAGGGACCACCAGTGATTTCAAAATGGGTGTAATAAATAATGGTAATAAGACCGAGTGGAGTCTAATTCGGACTGTAGTCACCCGAGTGACTAACAAAATCGAACGACTGCAAAGCGGGAGTCCGACTTGGTAATCACGAGCATTGATACAGACACAATTGGACGATCGAAGTCCTGTTACCAATTAATCATAACCGTTAAAATTTCCGAAAAAACTGATTCGTTTAGGACGAACACCTCCGGTAGAAACAATAGGTAAAGTAAAAAATTCCTCTATGTTGGAAATTCCCGAGTGTTTTTTTTTTTTTTTTTTTTTTTTTTTTTTTTTTTTTTTTCAGGATAAGTAGTTGTAGCTATGGTTATTGAGATCAATTCTGCGACTGGTGGATTTAGCTGAGTGGACATAGTATGATTGGCTGCTTCAACTGCCTGATTACAGGTGTGCGATTACAGCCAACTGTGCGATTGCACTCTCCGATTACAACTGAACAGAATGATAAGTGAAGAATAAAGCAGCTAATGCACTAATCACATTTTAGGGAATTGTGACGGTTATGCCTACTCTTAAAAATCATTTGAAACAAAATATCAGTCTTCTGACGGTCTCTTTTGCAGCTTGTCTAATGCCTTGAATTCTCCAACAATATAGAAGAGGATTTAAAGAAGACTTGAACAAAACCAAAGTCCCGCACCAATAAAACGCCGCTGAAACATCATCGTTCCATCCACTGAATCGGCCAATGATTTTCAAACAAACGTAAGGGAGATAACAAACACACAGAGAGGCATATACATACAGCGCGCTAACGAACGACTTCCGGTATGTCAACATATTGAACGAGCTGTCATCTGCGTTCCTTTTAAGGATACAGGAAGGCAACCTGGAAGCAGTGTAGTGAAAGACTTGCCTTGTTCGCTGCTTCCGAATGGATACATACACCAAAATACAGCACACAGAGGACATAAGAGCGCACACAAAAATCCCTCCGTAAGTTGCCCCTAGATACAGAGGGTAATTCCATAAGTACGCTGTTGACATAGTTGCGCTTAAAATGTATGAAAATATCAAAGCCATAGTTACCCGTCGAAGTGTTACTGTTTCTCGGTATCTGAATTTTAAGCGCAGAGCTAGAAGGCGGTCCATACTTATGGCTGTCATGGTTAGCAATGAAATTGCACAAAGCAAAACAGACAAAATGTTATGAGTAGCGTGGATTACCCCGTCTTGTTTTGATTGACCATTCGAACTCATCTCAGTTAAAAGATAACCCAAATAAAGTGGATGACCAATCACACCAACGCCGAGATCGGAGAGAGCTAGACCAAAGTACAATGCTTTAGACGGAGCGTGAAGCGAAGATATCTTTCGAAGAGAAATTGCTATCACGATGTTTCCAAAAGTCGCCGTAAATGATAAAAAGACATTAAGTACGCAGTTTCCTATGTATGAAACTAAGAGAACGTTGGATAACTTAGGAACAGATGAGTTGTCGAAGCTTTCATTTACGCTGGTGTTGTTGGAATTAGAATTCGCCATCACCTTCCAGCGGCAAACAGGTGATATGTCTTCGCCTGGCGAGTGCCCTCAAGACAGAAGTCTAGGCGAAAGCAATCTCTGACATAAAGAAAAATATAAATTGTTCAAACATTCAGACCGGAGCTACAGCAAAGCCAAAATATACAGACTGATGAAACCCATTTAAGTTAACTTACAAAATTTTGCACGCATATTTGTTTGCATGCCACACATTACGCAACAACGTCAAGTTTTGTCAGGCACTCTAATTTACAAACAGCTGAAATTGTTATCAGTCATTTTAACTCATTAATTTCTCATGTTAATCATTGGCGATGTAAAAGCTCATAATTTCCCCTCAGCCAAACCGATTTCAGTGGAATGTGAAAGTTTTCCGCTAAAACGATAAATTTCATTTCGCCGTAAAAGCTCTGAGAAAATAAAATTCAAAAAACAATTCAACTTTTAAAAGAGGTGAACACCGCAAGCAGAAAACCGACAAAGATTCACGTGATAATTTTAAGCGCTTTGTTTTTCATGTGGGTTTGTAACTCATTGAGAAATGAACGATTTGGCTAAAAAACTCCATTAACGTACAATGATAAAGCTACTGTCATTCAAATCAGGTAACACTGAAGCGCTGAAAAAAAAACAGTTGCTAAACTTATCCTTTCCGGTCGGAGAACATAGTGCGAAACTCAATAGCTCCCGCATCTCTTCTTTTGTTAAAATATTCGAGAACAATCTTTCAAGTTCCTGTTTTCAATTGCAAATTGGAGACATAGCCAATACAAGCCCGTCGATCCTCTTGGACATAACACCACATTTACATGAGATTATATCTGCATTGGAAAAGTAGTATATTTTAAGAAAGGGATTTTGATCTTAGCGTTGATAACCGAACATGAGCCTCAAAAGTAGAATTTTGTGTGATTTATGTTTAGGGGTCATTTCCTAATAAAAAAAAGCAGATGATAGAAAAACCAGAAAAGAAACTTTCTTAATCAGAAAAAATTTTGCAATCGAAAATCACGTGGGCGATCAAACTACAGTTAACTCAAGTACCCTAAAGCAGTCGTTAGAAAACTAGTTAGAATTTTCTTTAACAATGAACAAATACTACTTGTAATAAAACGATTTCACACATCAGAACAACTCTTTCAGTTACTACGTATTCCAAATGTACTTGAATGATGAAAAAATAGCAGCCAGTGCGGTGTCACCAAATATTAAATAACGAAATGAAAGTAGACCGTCTAGCGTTTCCTTCTCACCAAGAGATACGCCTTTAGAACCCAAGTCTACTTCTCAGAAGTCGCCACAGAGTGTTTCAACCAGCCGTATGTCTACCAGTTACCTGATGTGAAGTCTGCCGCTATAGGTTACCTCTCACTATAATTTATGCTTTCGATTTTCTCCTCAAAAGTCAACTTAGCCTAAAATAACAAGTGTGTTGAGATATCAAATCCAAATGA